GGAGGTCAGTTTGTTAGCGTACACTCAGAACGATGGCCAAATGTACAAAACAGAACTCATCCTCTTTGCCACAAAACCCATTCCTCTTTCTAACTTCCTTATTTTTGTTGAGGCCATTACAGTGTTTTTCATCATGCAACTCGGGTCATCCTCAATTTTTCCCCCACTGCCTAACCCTCATATTCAATGAGTTGCCAATGGATTTTAGAGGAAAAAAGGAGGAAAGGGCGGAAAGAAAAAAGCATTTATTAAGCACCTACTCTGTACCAGGTACTTTGCTGAGTGTTTTACAAATATTATCTCATTTGATCTTCACAACAACTCTGGGAGGTAGATGCTGCTATTACCCCATTTTGCAGATGAGGAAACTGATGCAGGCAGAAGTTAGATGACTTGCCCAGGGTCCTATAGCAAACAAGTGTCTTGAGGCCAGATTTGAATTTGGTTCTTCCTGACTCCAGGCCCAGCAACTCTCTCTGCTACTGTCACTAGCTACACTACAACATCTTTCGGTGTCTACCTTTCCCCTCCTTTCCCCTTGCCCAGCTAGCACCCTAGCTCATCATCGCATCTGGCTGGATTATTACAACAGCTTCTTTGTGGGTCGGTCTGCCTCCAGTTTCTCTAATTTATTGTCCAAACTAGTTGCCGAAGTGATAGTTCTAAAGCACAGTTCTGACCAGGATACTTCCCTGTCTCTGTTCCTTAAACTTGTGGTGCACTTTGTCTTCACATTAGCCTCCTAGAATCCAAGTTTCCTTCAAACCTCAGCCCAAGAGCTAACTCCTACCTAAAGTCTTCCTTGTTACCCTCCAGCTGCTTGTGCTACCTCTGCAAAGCTCCCTTTAATTCGTGTGTACTTACGTTTGTATATGTTTACTCCCCAGATACAAGGTAATCTGCTCAAAGGAAGAGGATGTTTTATTTTTGTTTTCATATCCCTACTTACTGCCAACACTTGGGTATAGTAGGTACTTAGTAATAATACTAGTTGATTGATTGATTAATTGAGGGGAGGCCAAAGTAGGAAGGGGAGACAGGAGAGTTCAAAAGTCTGGGAAATCTTCAGTCCTCACCAGGCTGTGCTCTTGACTCTGCAGTGGACTTTCTCTACCATGCCATGGAAACCTCTTCACTCTAGAAGCTCACTCCCCTCCTGAACTATATCTCAGATTGGAAGTACCTTGTCCCTCTGATTGGCTGATTTCTTCCAGAACCTCTATTTGAAGAAGAAGGTCCAGGCCACCCATGCCTTCATTTCTCTTCAGGCTGCACTCCCGACTACCACGGGACTTTCTCTGCTGCCTCCCTTTTCATCTCTCCTCTTTCATATCCCTTTTATATACTGTCTTCCCTCATTAGAATGTAAGATTCTTGAGGGGAGGGACTTTATGCTTTTTCTTTGTATGCCCAGTGGCTAGCTAGAACCTGGCAGGTGGTAAGCTTTTAATAAATACTCGTTGATTTATTGACTTTAAAGTTCAGGTGGGATAAGGTCCACTAGAATCCAGGACCACCAATCTGAGTTCAAATCCTTTTTTAGTGATAGAACTTAATAAGAAGAGTATACAAGTAGGAGAAGATGCCAAAGGTGGGAGTAATTGGCTAGATTGGGTAAATGTGGTAGATATAGTTTATAGACCTCATCAGCTTCTATTATCATCTCTGTGAAGATAACTGCCAGATCTATATATATCCAGCCCTAGCATCCTCCTAAGCTGCAGCTGTACATCTCCAGCCACCTTTTGGATGTTTTAAACTAGATTTCCTGTGGGCTCCTCAAACTCAAATGTCCAAAACAAAATTCTTTATCCCCTCCTATCTTTTTTTCTCCTAAACTTCTCTGCTAATGTTGAGACACAGTTCTCTCAAACTCGAAACTTCAGTGTCATCCTTGGCTCCTTCCTTACTCTCACTCATCCCACATATCTGTTGCCAAGTCATATTTCTACCTTTACAATATTTCTCGTCTATCTTCTGTTCTCTCCACTCTAACAGTGAGTTCAAGACCATTTCACTTGCCTGGATTATTGCAATAGCCTTCTAATTGGTTTCCCTGAATCCCTACTTTCTTCCCAACTTCAGTCCATTCTCCTTTTAGATGTTAAGATGACCTTTTTTTTCCTTAAATTCAATTTTATTTTCATTTCCAAATTCTCTCCTGCCCTCCTTCCTCTCTCCAACCCACTGAAAAGACAAGAAAAACAAAACCCATTACAAATATGTACTGTTATGCCACATTAGACATGTCCAAGAAAAAGAGAAAGAAAAGGAAATATGCACTGAGTTCATCAGCTTTCTATCTGGAGGTAGATAGTATGCTCAATTATGAATCCTAAGGGCAATTTTTTCTAAAGCTTAGGTCTGACCATGTTACTCCTCTGAATGAGCTATAGCAGCTCCTTATTAGCTCAAGCCCTTGACCCTTTTGTCCCTGCTAACTATTGTCTTATGTCTCTTCTGCCCTTTGTAGCTAAACTTCTCTAAAAGTCTGCAATAGTTGCCTTCACTTTCTCTCCTCCTACTCTCTTCTTAACCTCTTACAACCTGATTTCTGACCTTAACATTCCACTGAAGACTGCTTTCTCCAAAGTTACTAATGATCTTTTAGTTGCTAAATCCAATGGCCTATTTTTTCTAATATATCTCCTGAGCTCATTCCCTGGCCTTTTGCTATCTTTGGCACCATTGATCACTGTCTCCATCTTTTAAAAAATCTTAAAATTTTTTTTTTATTAATTTATTTTTAGTTTTCAACAATCACTTCCGTAAGCTTTTGAGTTTTAAATTTTTCTCCACCTCACTCCCCAAGACGTCATGCAATCTGATATAAGCTCTACATATACATTCCTGTTAAACATATTTTCACATTAATCATGTTGTAAGGAAGAATTAGAACCAATCAAGGAACCACAAGAAAGAGGAAACAAAACAAAACAGGAGGGGGAAAAAAAGAGCAAATAGTATACTTCGAACTCCATAGTTCTTTTTCTGAATGTGGATAGCATTTTCTATCATGAGACTTGGAGATGTCTTAGATCCTTGCATTGCTGAGAAGGGCTAGGTTTATCAAAGTTAATCATTATACAACGTGGCTGTTACTGTGTACAATGTTCTCCTGGTTCTTCTCACTTCACTCAACATCAGTCCATACAAGTCTTTCCAGGTTTTTCTGAAGTCTGTCTGCTCATAATTTCTTATAGCACAATACTATTCCATTATATTTATGTACCACAACTTGTTCAGCCATTCCCCAATTGATGGGCACCCCCTCAATTTCTTTGCCACCACAAAAAGAGCTGCTATAAATATTTTTGCTCATGTGGGTCCTTTTCCCATTTGTTTGATCTCTTTGGGATACAGCCCTAGAAGTGCTATTGCTGGATCAAAGGGTATGCACATTTTTATAGCCCTTTGGGCATAGTTCCAAATTGCTCTCCAAAATGGTTGGATAAGTTCACAACTCCACCAACAATGTCCAATTTTCCCATATCTCCAACATTTTTCATTTTCCTGTTTTGTCATGTTGGCCAATCTGATAGGTGTGATGTGGTACCTCACTGTCTCCAACTTGATACTCTTTTTTACTGCAGGGTTTCCAAACACCATCCTCTCCTGGTTCTCACCATACCTATCTGATCATTTTTTCTGTTTTTTTTTTTTTTTTTTGCTGAGTCCTCTTCTAGATTATGCCTTCTAATGGTAGATATCTGTCAGGGTTTGGTCCTGAGCCTTGGTGAGCTTATCAGCTCCCAAGGATTTACCATCTCTATGCTGATGATTCTCAAATCTACCTATCCTGCCCCAAATTCTCTGCTGACTTTCAATCTTGTCATCTTCAACTGCCTTTTAGACATCTCGAAGTGGATGGCCAACTCAGCATGTCCAAAATGGGACTTATCTTCCCTCAGCCCTTCCCACTCCTATTTTCCTTATTACTATAGAGGGCAAAAGTGATTAAGGCTGGGTAAGAAATGAAGCAAAGAATGGCCTCTTTTACCTAGTCCAAAAAAAAAATCATTCTGGGAAGGGTTTCTGGCCAAAACAGAAACAATTACTATTTACATTCACTCTGAGCCAATCAGGGCCCAAACAATGACCAAATGGGGCTTGGCCTGGGACCTATTGTTGGCTAAGATGAGAGCTGTGCCCTCTCTTTGGAGTGCTCAGCCCAAAGGAATGTAAATTTTGCTTGCTGTAACCTCCCAAGATATCTTGGAGTTTACTGGCTAGATTGCTTTCTTAAGGACCATGCCTTAAACCCCAATCATGACTTTGACTTTCCTTGATTGCCCAACAATAGGTCCCAGGCCAAGCCCCACTTGGTCATTGTTTGGGCTCTGATTGGCTCAGAGTGAATGTAAATAATAATTGTTTCTGGCCAAAACAGAAACCCTTTCCAGATTGATTTTTTTTTATTAGGTTAGAGGCCATTCTTTGCTTCCTTTCTACCTAGCCTTAATCACTGAATGGCCATTGTCTCAGTCAAACTGAGACCTGTTATTAAAGACCTTAGCTTTAAAAGGCCAAGGTCTCTCACTGCATCCAGGGCCATCTCCAGTCATCCTGATCTATATCTGGCCACTGGACCCAGATGGCTGTGGAGGAGAAAGGGAGGCTGGTGACTTTGCACAGCCCTCCCTCACTTAGATCCAATTCACTTGCAAGTCATGGCATCAACTGATGTCATGGTCCTCTTAGAGAATGAAGGATAAGCAACAACCACAACAACAGTGTTCTTCTCATTGTTAACCAGAGTTGATTGCCATCTGAAGGAACATCCACTCTTCTAAGGGCATATGAGCATTGAGTGGGTTCCATGAGTGGTCTTTGGCATTTGAGAGTGCCACTATTAATTAATTATCCTCCAGCATTTTATTAATATAAAATTATTAATTACCCAGAAACTATGTCTTTCTAACTTTTTATAAGTCTCAGCATGGATTGAACTGAGGCTGGATTTGAATTCGGGTTTTTCTGACTCCAGGCCTGACACTTACTGATTTATATGCACAGGCTGAAGCACTTCCCATGGGGATGATTCTGCATTCTGGTGGCCTGGGGTGGTTGGTGAGGTTGGTGACCTGTGATAAAGATGATTAGTCACTGAGGCAGGAAGAGTGTGTTCCACTTCATAGACTTTAATAAGAATCCCCTAAATTGGAACACTAATACATTGTTTGTGGAGTTGTGAAATAATCCAACCATTTTGGAGAACAATTTGGAACTATGCCCAAGGGGCTACAAAAATGTGCATACCCTTTGATCCAGCAATAGCACTTCTAGGACTATATCCCAAAGAGATCAAACAAATGGGAAAAGGACCCACATGTACAAAAATATTCATAGCAGCTTTTTTTTGTGGTGGCAAAGAAATTGAGGGGATGCCCATCCATTGGGGAATGGCTGAACAAGTTGTGGTATATGAATGTAATGGAATACTATTGTGCTATAAGAAATGATGAACAGGCTGACTTCAGAAAAACCTGGAAAGACTTGTATGGTCTGATGCTGAGTGAAGTGAGCAGAACCAAGAGGACTTTGTACACAATAACAGCCACATTATACAATGACTAATATTGTTAAACTGAACCCTTCTCGGCATTACAAGGATCTAAGACACTTCCAGAGGCCTCGGGATGGAAAATGCTGTCCATATCCAAAGAAAGAACTATGGAAGTCGAATTGTTATCACTTATTTTTACTTTCTGTTGAGTTTTGTTTCATCTTTCTGATGGCTCCTTCTATTGGTTTTAATTTTTACTTACAATTTCACTAATGTGAAAATATGTTTAATAGGTATGTAAATGTAAAGCCTATATCAGATTGTGCGCCATCTTGAGGAAGGGTGGGGGGGAGGAAGGAGGAGAAAAATTTTCAACTCAAAAGCATATGGAAGTGATTGTTAATAAATAAAAAATAAAAATAAAATTAAAAAAAAAAGAATCCCCTAACTTTTTCTCTCTTCCCATCTTTTGAGCATGTCAGAATGCCTTTCCTCATGCTCTTGGATTGGGAAGGAGAGGATCTCTCTCCCTTTCCTCTCTCAGCCAGGATAGTGGCTTCTTGCATATGACCCTCTCGGTGTCATATGCTCATCTAGGTGAAATAAAGACAGTATATCAAGGCTCCTTCCAGCCATGGAATTCTGTGATTCTATGACCTTCAATGAATGTCTAATGGCAGGCTGAAGAGTTAAGATTCAAAAACATCTATGTGCTCAAAATAAAGTTGGATGTGACAAAAGAAAGTCCAGAATCACACTATCCTCCGAGAGAGACCTACAGATTGAGTGTTTTAACCTCATGTTGCTGACCAAGGTAGTGACCAGAAATCTCAGCAACGTCAGTATATGTAATGTCTGGTACACATATATGGTATTACCTGAGTGCTGCCACAGACTTTCCTCCACACTTGCTGATGTCTGGTCAAGAGCTATATTTGTCTGTTGGCTTGTGTTTTAGAGTTTCAGAGGATAGAGGAGATATAGAGACTCAAAACTAGCCAGAAAGTACTGTCTCCCCCTCTCTGAGCCCCACCTTTGAAATATGTGTGTTATGGGCCAGGTACAGTTATATTTTTTTCTTCTTACCAGGCAGTTTTTTGTCTTTAGTGTAGAATCAGTCAAAGGACCCCTATTCACTCTTTAGGGTCAGTAAATAGTAAACAAGCACTTTTTAAGTAATTAGTATGTGCCAGGAAATGTGCTGATCTCTAGGGATAGAAAAAAAAAGGCATCTCCCCTCCAAAAACCCCCCACAGAAACCCAGGTTCTGCTTTCAAGGAGCTCACAGTTAAATGTCTGTGATGGCTCAGAAACAGCTATATGCAAGCAAGATACATACAGGCTATATTGGAGATAATCAACAGAGAGAAAGCGCTAACAATTAAGGTAGATCAGGAAAGGCTTCTAGAGAATAGGCTTTTAGTTGGAACTTGAAGGAAGGCCCAGACATCCGGAGATGGAGATAAGGGGGAGAGAGAATTCCAGATATGAGGGACAGCCTGTGAAAAAAAATCCTCAGAGTTGGGAGATGGAGTGCCTTAGGGAACATAATACAAAGTAACTTTAGAACAATGCTTTAAGTTCTTGGAACCACCTGAATGAGAAAGCCCTATCAGTCTTTCTTTAACTATCAATTCTCATGTAACCCTTATCAAGGCCTGACCAGCTATTGAAGGGTGGGCCTAATCATTCCAGGTAAGACTCTTTCCAGAAATGATTAGGATAATTATCCTATTAAGGAAAGGAAGAAATCTTTGATTAATTCAGTTAATGCAAGTATTTTGTGTTTGCCTTTGACTGGGCTGAAAAAGGAATTTCTTTTTTTTTTTCTTTTTTTAGACCTATTTCCACATTAGTCTTGTTGTGAAGGAAGAATCAGAGCGAAAGGGAAGAACCACAACAACTGTATTTCCATCTGTGATATCCCCTCCCCCATTTATTCTATTCCTTCTCCTTTCACCCTGTTCCTCCTCAAAAGTGTTTTGCTTCTGACTACTCTGTCCCCTAATCTGCCCTCCCTTCTATCACTACTCCCTTCTGAAAGAGGAATTTCTTTCTTTTTCTTTTTCTTTTTTTTTTTTTTTTGGTGAGGCAATTGGGGTTAAGTGACTTGCCCAGGGTCGCACAGCTAGTGAGTGTTATATGTCTGAATCCAGATTTGAACTCAGGTCCTCCTGACTCCAGGGCTGTTGCTCTATCCACTGTATCACCTAACTGCCCCCAAAAGAGGAATTTCTAAGGAAAGAATAGTTAAAGAGAGATTGAACAGTTTTAGGAAAATGATTCTGAAGGGTGTGCAGAGAATTAAGTAACTTGTTTTGTGAATAACAGTAGTGAAGAAAAATGCTCATTGAAACTTTACCTGAACTGTGACTATGGTTAACATGGGTGTAGTCCCTGCAACATTCCCAATATGCTCTTCTCAGTATCAACCCACATGGAAGTTTGGTGAGTTTCATGGTAGCACGTGATGGAAAGGTAGCTCTTATTTCCTCTCTTCAGAGCATGTGAAAGCATTCTCTGATTATTTCCTGTTGGCTTACCACAAGGTGATAAGAAGCTGCTGAGCCAGAACTTAGTGTGCATACAAAAGGCACAAGGAGAGGAAAGCTTAGTCCCTTCCCTGTCCTGTTTCAAAAGAGGAAGAAGAACTCTGTATGAGTTCTCTCTAAGAGTAAGACTCTGGAGGGGTGGAAGGAAGGAGGGAGGGAGAGAAAGAGAGAGAGAGAGAGAGAGAGAGAGAGAGAGAGAGAGAGAGAGAGAGAGAGAGAGAGAGAGAGAAAGAGAGAGAGAGAGGGAGAGATCTCTCCTCACAGACTTCCATGTGGCTGTGGATGCATGGCTCTACTGTATCATCTGTCCCTGATACTAGACTATGACTTCATAAGCTTTGAAAGGTCAGAAGAACCAGACAAGGTCAAGCAACTAGAGCCTATAATGGAGTCTACCAAGGCAAGTGAGGATCAACCCACCTGATTTTAAGAACTGATCCAGCAGCCAGAATACCAGTCCTGCAAGGAAGGATGTGTCTCATCTGTTAGAAATACGCTTGACACCAAAAATTCAGTATCAAGAAAATTTATTACAAAGAAAGTCCTGAGGATTTAGACATTTCTGGCCAGAAGTGGGCTCCACCCCTCTTCAGGAGGGGTGGGCCCTGAGTGCAAGGGCAGGTGTGCTTTTATGCAGTTGAATTCGGCACAAAACCTCCCAGGCCTGGATTGGTCCATCCCTTCCCAGGTTACACCTTTCCTTACATGTTTCCCCTTGATATGCTCAAGTATGTTCCCCCTCCCTTGGTCATACGTCCCACGACTCATTAATGAGGCTCTAATTTTATGTGGGGTGTGTCAGATAATAGTAATGAAGCTCATTAAGCAGGTGCACTAACATTTTTCAAGTGTTCTCAGGTTGACCCTAACTGGTCTGAGCTGCCTCGACCCTTATCTTGATTTTGGGGTCTTTTTGGAACCATCAACTTACTTTTTATTGGCTAAGCCCGAGCCCACCTACAGTGTACTACTTCCTGGAGCTGCTGTTCTTTAAATCTCTGCATTATTCTACCTTTGGAAATGTAAGCCCATCTAACTCTAACATCATCCATCCGTTGTACTCCAGCCAGAAGTAAAGTTGGGGAAATGCTAGTGATATAAAGAGAAAACTCTGTGCTCTGCATTTTAGGCACAAGCCTGCCAGATGCACTTACTAACTTGTTATTATTTTAACCTAAGCATTTCTGCTTAGAGAGAAAAACATCCAAATGGACAGTCTCTTCATGCTCTTGTACATCTCTCTAATATGTCGTTTTGTACTTTATTTTTTTGGTTAGGCAATTGGGGGTTAAGTGACTTGCCCAGAGTCACACAGCTAGGAAGTGTTAATGTGTCTGAGGCTGGATTTGAACTGAGGTTCTCCTGACTCCAGGGCTGGTACTCTATCTACTGTGCCACCTAGCTGCCCCCCACTGTGCCACCTAGCTGCCCCCCACTGTGCCACCTAGCTTCTCCCTCTAATATGTCATTTTGAACTCACAGTTATTAGGATTGTTGAACAAAGAACATTTCACCCGAAGGCTGAGCAAGGGTCCAGAGTTTAGGTAGCAGTTCAGTTAACGGTGTGGTTCATCAAACAGAAAAAGTCACTTAAATGTCAGCATGCCTTTAATATAATATTTTCTTCAGTCACCTTTCAGACTAGTTACCACCCTCAGTTTGAATGTACTCTCCCAAGGGACTCAGGGGATAGAGAGTGGGATCCCAGCTTTGGACATTTTTATGCTTTGGTTCTCAGCAATAACCTGTTTCTCTAACAGATATTTAAGCCTGACTAGCTGACTGAAATCAACTGATAATCAATGGGAAAACACCCTTTCTGGGGACCTGATCTGTTAACTTGAATGGGGGTCAGGAGAGTGACTCCAGAGTCCAGACATGTGCCATATCTCTTATTGTTAAATTTTGTCTATGTCACAAATTTCACAAGTTGTGAGTGAAAACAGCTTGTGTCAGACCGAGGTTGCTAAAGGCAGGATGGATTTCTCTTTTTGGATTTTCTCTCTCAGCAGAAATGCTTTAAATTAGTTAATACAAATTGTCTCTGGCAGCCTTGTGCCTAAAATGTAGAGCATAGTATAATATCTTTGATATGAGTGACTTCTGTCTTCTTCAGCCCTGCGGAGAGCTTTCTCTGTGTAAACATGAGAAACTGGGGAGTGATTAAGGCCAGACGCCCCAACAGGGAAGCCTTGTCTCAGACAGCAAAATGGTACTCTGACTCATTTTAACCCGAGGGGCAGAAAGACAATCCAGTTTAGTTCAGCCTTTTGGAAATATATCCAAAAATCAATGAATTAAAAACAAAAGATTCTTTTAGTTTGGTTAACCACCCTCACGCCCACCCCACCACCTCCCACCAGGACCTGGCACTTTAGAGCACCAGAGTTTGAACCCTGGTCCTTTCTGTATCTCTGTGTACCAACTGTTGTTTAGTCATTTTTCAGTTGCGTCTGACTCTTCATGACCCCATTTGGGTTTTCTTAGCAAAGATACTGGAGTGTTTTGCCATTTCCTTCTCCAGTTCATTTCACAGATGAGGAACTGAGGCAAACGGGGTTAGGTGACTTTACTTATGTCCCACAGCTAGTAAGTGTCTGAGGCTAGATTTGAACTCAAGAACACTTATCTTCCTGCCTCAGGTACTGCACCACCTACCTGCCCCAATACGTGTACCAGTACCAATACCTAAACACTATTTCTCCCTGATGCAGTCCCCCCACTCACAAATAAAGCAGTAAATACGAAGATCGCTAACAGCTAGATAGATCACCTTTATCTAGCCTACAAAATACATTCAAACTACTTAAACAGAAATAAGAAAACTTAATTTACAGGACAGAGTGAGCTTTGGAATCAGATGCTGTCATACTCAGGCAGAGAGAAGGGGGAAGAAAGGTAAGATTGTAGAACAAGCGAGCACCTTCCCATTCTGGCTGATGGAAGATGGTGCTGCTAGAGCTTTCTGGGCTTCTTGCTGTGCGTCAAGGCTCGGTTCTCCAGTGTTTAGACCATTCCTCAAACCTCTATTTCATCTCTTTGCTCTATGGAATCCTGCTGCAGCAGCCATATTCAACTACCCACAGGGGCAGCCCTCAGTTCAAAACTTCCAGTGAGAAAGAACACCTGTAGGAGAAGAAACAGGAGAGAACAGTGTCAGGGAAGCCAACTTTTTTTTTTTTTGAGGCAATCGAGGTTAAGTGACTTGCCCAAGGTCACGAAGCAAGTAAGTGTCTGAGACCAGATTTGAACTCATGTCCTGCTGACTCCAGTACTCTATGCACTGTGCCAGCTAGCTGCCCCAGCAGTCAAACCTCATGGAAAAGACCTTGGTCTGAAGCACCAGTTCCATTAGAGAGAGATCAGTAAGCATGAGAATTTAAAAAACAAAACCAAAAAACCTCTTGTTTGAACTAAGAGACAGCAGGGATGTGCTGGTAAATGTTTAACAACCAGCTCTCCACAAAGATGTGCCCTCCACACACTTTTAAGTTTAATGTGCATGACCATAATTTTCTCCATCACTTCCTTAAATCTAGACAACCAACAAAACAATAAACCAAGCCCTGATTTGTTGATTTTCAAGGTGTACATGCTCCCACTGAAAACTTAACAACAGACTCCCTAGCCTAGCACACCTCTACTTTAAAACAGTGCTATTGACTGACAACGATAGAAGCCAGATGGGAGACTGCAGGGGACTGAGGCTGATGAGAAGACAAGAAGGCAAAGACCCGTTCTCAAGTAGGTGGATTGGGGAATATGCTCATAGCATCTCTAGGCTCAACTGTCATTTCTGGCTTGAACATCACGAGTAAAAGTTAAGTTCTATTACAAAGACTATGACTGTAATAAAAAAAAAGTCTACATGATAAAAATATGCCCAAGTCTTATACTATTTATTCTGAGCAATATTTGAGATAGCAAAATTCCTGGGTGGGGTAGTGGAAAGAACCACTGGACCAGCAAGTGAGAGAGTCGCTTCCTGTTCCTGGCTCTGCTACTGTTGTGTTGGGGGAATCATTAAAAAAACAAAACAAAAACCAAATCCTTCCCTCCTCTAGACCACAGTTTTTTATATGAAAAATGGGGGCAGCGGTGATAGGACATGAGATGATCTCCAAAGTTCTTTCTGGCTGGGTTCAAATCCCAGTTCTACTACTGAGTCTCTGTCCGACCTTGGGCAAATCTCTTCCCTTCCCAGGGTCTCAGTTTCCTCGCCTCTAAAACGAGGCACTTGGACTAGATGACCCTTAAGGTCCCTTCCAGTTCTAAATCCTATGATCCTAATATTTTGATTTTCCAACATTGATGATTTTCTGTTTCCTTATAGGAATAAACACTCTTAGAAAACTTCAAAAGGGCCGCGTGTTTGTGCTAGGGACAGGAAGGCAGGGCAGGGGGAAATTTTGAGATTACATCCTGTTGCTCAGTGGTCCTGAGAGGTCCTGGTAGAAGAATGGGTTGTGGCAGTTGGAAAGGTTGCAGCAGTCCCTTGGGTATATGGAAGAGACAGAGGTGGAGGGGGGCGGGGCAGGCTAGGCCTGAGATGGGTCTCTGCAGGAGGTTCCAAACCCTAACAATATCTACCTTCTTCTTGGCCTTTTTCCCATCACAAGGCTCTGTTCCTGAGGGCTCCTTTCAGCAGCTTTACTTTCCCAAATGACTCAACCTCTCCAGTGTGAGGGCCTGCAATTTGTGGTAACTACCCACTATGCTATGGTGGGCTCGTGTCAAGCCCCTTAATCTCTCAGCCACCATTTCTTCATCTGTAAAATGAGGTTAATAATACTTGTCCTACCTGCCTCACAAGGTTGTAATGAGAAGAATACTGTGTAAACTTTAAGATGCTAGATAAATGTGCATCATCATTGTTATAAATCAATAATTAAGCTATTATTAGATGATTCCCAAGTGAGTACTGTGGCCAGGTATCCTCCTAATACTTGTCTTTTGGAGTGCATATATGTGTGGCTTGGCATTACCAATTAGACCAAAAGTTTATAGGATAATAGATGGAAAGCTGGAAGTGGCCTTAGAGGCCAACCAATTCAATCCCTTCATTTTATAGGTGGGGAAATAGGGGAGATGAAGCAAAATTAAGTGACTTACCCAAGGTCATACAGACAGTAACTAATTCTTCTCTAATAAGTTTAGAACCTAGGTGCTCCGACCTCAGGTCCAATGCTCT